TAGGTAAATATATATAGACTCATATTTCTTTTTCTAGGACTACGTTTAAAGAAAGAAGCCATTGAATCTCCTTGTGGAAATGCGGTGGGTTTATATATTCTTTTATTAGTTATACATTTCATTTTATTTCTGTGAATATTAGTTTTAAAATATTTAATTTGCTGATCTTGATAAAGTCTGCAAATTTACACCATCTTAATGTAAAGTATATATATATGCTCATTTAATTTATGTCTCCCTCTTGCAGTCTATTTCCCAAAAGAAATAATCTTTTCAGGTGCTTTTTCTTTTCTCAGTATACAAGAGGATGTAGGTCAAATATAGATTTGGCCTCAGGAAACAATCCAGCTACTGCAAAGAGATATGAAGCCACACGGGAGTATCATGGGTCTTCACAACATTTTGGACGTAATGTTATTCATGGAAATATGCCTCCTCCATATATGCCACCACAGGTTCACACTCATGGTCCATACTATGTCCATTCTAGTTATCAAAATCCACCGCAGAATGTGGGACGTTACAGTCCACCACCTTCTTACCAAGAAGTAGATGGAATAAGTAGAAAGAAAATTTCATCAATAGTGAAAGCCCTTGCTCTTTTAAATGGCCAATGGGCTACTGCAGAAAACATTGGGAAACTTGCTGAGTGTGATAGTAATACAGTTGAAAAAGTTGTGAAGGCTAATAGAAATCTGTTTTCTGCAATGAATGATGGGAAACAAGTTGTGATTGAACTTGTTCCAGATATTAGCATTTGCATGGATTACCTTTCAGAAAAGGGCTGTAAATTGCAAATGGTTTGTGGAAATCTTCACATCTGTAAGTATTTCATATTTAATAAGTGCACCTCGGGAACTGGGTGTCATTATGGCCATAAATGGGATACAAGTCACAACAGCCGTGTCCTTTCAAAGTTTTACCTAGATGAGATTGATAAAAATGTCCTCCTTCAAGTTATGAAGAAAATTTTCAAAGGAATTTTGCCTCCACAAATATGTAATTTCTACAACTCAAAGAATGGCTGCAAATATGGGGAGAAATGTGGACAACTGCATATATGCAAACAATTTGTTTCAAGTGCAGGTAAATGCTTATGCAGTTCTTATAATCATGATATTTTAACACCACACTGCAAAAGGATACTTAAAAGTCATGATCTGTCTATCAATGAGTCTCCTCGTGATATTATTATGTCCCTGAAAGCAGTATTAATCAAGGAAGAAGAAAAGGATGATAAAATAGGAACACGGACTATAAATCCAAGTGACACACATGTGTCAGCAGAAAATGACAAAGGTAAAAAAAAGTTGCTAGGTACCAAAAATGCAGGCAATGCAACAGAAAGAAAAGCAGGAATAACAAAAAATGACCCTCCCAAGAACACAAAAAAAGTACCTAATGGGGAGAAACCAACTGAAGATAAACCTCAAAAAGGAAAGAGAACATGTTGGTCAACTGACGTTTTGGGAGATGTCAAAATACCAGAAATATGTGTATTTAGTATTGATGATAAGTGCAGAAATGAAAAGAAAGGTTGCGATTACCTTCATGCCAAATCACTTTTTCATTGGCAAGCTAAACAGAATCAACATTGGTATAACTTTCGTATTTTTCAGTCAAAGATGCTTGAAAGCGCTTACCGTGATGTTTCCAAAGGCACTGTCGCAATAAGCCCCTTAATCGCTAGTAAGCTTGGTAACAATGCTAAAGAATTGCTGTCAGTTTTTGGAACTCGATCATGGACAGCAGACTTTCAGGCAATGACCATCAGAAGTCTGGATCAGGAGGAACTTCAAATAAGAAGAATTGCAACTAAATCAGCAGCTGAGTCTACCAGTCCCAAAGCTACTGTATATAAATGGCATTTCATTGATGATCAAGGTAAATGGATTCGATATGGAGATGTAGACAGCCTTGGCAAGCAAAAATTTGTATGTTCTGTTACAAGTGAAGAAATTGAGGAACAGTTTTTATCTGACTCTTCTTCCTGGATGGAGATATCAAATTCAGAATTCAAGTATAAATTAGATTTTTCAAAGATGAGGCAAATTAATTTAAATACCCGAAAAGAGAGGGAGATACGTCGTCGACCAGCACACCTTTCCTACCAAAAGAGGTGTGAATCGGACCAAGAAGCCTCTCTCCCAAGCCACTGGAATCCCATGCCAAGCAACCAGACACACACACTCCAGCACCTTGATGCTAGCAGCTCTGAATACCTAGATATTGCCAGACTAGTCCGGATGACACTACCAACTCTGAATGTAGTCAGCATCCAGAGATTACAGAACCCTTATTTATGGAGGTTATTTCAGTACAAGATAGCAAATTTGAGTCAGAGGTAATGTATTGTTGCATTGATTTTATCTTTGCTTATTTACATTTTCATATATTGATAACAGTTCACCCCTATTAATTGTCATTTTATGTTGCAAAATTGACATACTTCACAGTCATTTTTTTCTCCCTGGCATTGCAGTTTTCTTACTGACTTCTT